GAAGCAATCCAAAGGACAGTGAAATCTAGGTGTAAGTGATCCGAATATTTGGCGCAAGGCTTTCGCCGGCCTTACTGGACGCTGGCAGGACCATTCCTCCTGATGATTAATACGCCAAAGTTCGCAACTGCCTTGTAGCTCATCAAGGACCTGAGGACTAACCGCGATCAGTGATGAATCGAGAAGTGTAAATATAAAATGACGACTGCGGCTATTGGTAATAGTCGTAATATTTTTCGTTTAATTAGAATTACAGGCTCAATGAATTATTCGTGAGATATTTAAGTAGTCGGACGGCACACTGGTTCTTCGTCAGCAACGTCATCTTGGGCGATGGACAAAACAATTTTAGGGCACAGTTTAGGTGGCTCCCGTCGACACAAAACCTCTCAATGCTTTCTCTAGTTGGACAGATACTGCCACTAGCTATCAGCCCTCCACCTGAAGTGGAGGTTACACACCAGTGTGTGATGAGCAGCAGACGGGGCGAACCCCATAGTCACGAAGACCTGCTTTTCAGTGGTGGAAGCCGGCAACCTAAGCCCCGGGACTTGGACTGGCGAACCATATAAGGTCCCAATAAGTTAGGCATGGTATTGAACCGCACGACAGCAGAGCTGCCTATCACCAAAGTCCCGTGGCGTTAGCGAGGCTGGAACCTAGAACCACAGTGGGTCAAAGCACGCCGGTGACCGCGAATAAACCACTGCGCCACCACCACCCGGGAAATTAGTTATCTCAAAGGGTATAAGGCCTCCGACCCCGATGGGATATCCTTCGGTTTGTAAGGATGGATGTTCAGCCCTGGTTTTTGAGTTGAAATTCCTGAGAACAGTGTAGGGGAGAGAACCGGTTCCAACGGAACGGTGTAACTCAGTCATTATAGCGATTTACGAGAATGGTGACAGATCCTCTTGTGAAAATCACAGGAATTAGTTCAATACACATTGTCTCTCAGATGCCGTGATGGGTTCACTTCTTGTAAAAGGGATGCTACTGAAGAAGATGAGCATATTAAGGTCAATGTACTCGCATACTTCTGATAGAGTAATGGCAACGGTGAGCTAAGCATGCTATTCGAAACCAGGAGAGATGTGCGTCTAAGGTGTCCTCTCTCGCCATTCTCGTTCGCATTGTTTTCTCCCAAATGTTGATATTGAATAGTCAGCTGTGCGATTGGGAGTACTCTGACGTTATCGTTTGTCTCCTTGAGCGTACAACGGACGCGCAACATGCTCTTGACAGACTAACAGGTTCGGTAATTGCTTCTTGTATGCGCTTCGCGCCTCCAAAGTGCGTCACCGACGGTCAAAAATGCGGAGTGAAGAGAACACAGAATTAATGTTGCTGTTCGGTCCGCTTACGTTGGGGAAGGTGATGTGTACATATGTACATGTTTGCTTTGTGAGTGAGTGCAGTGAACGAGAGAGCGAGAGCTTGAGTGATTTTTGCATTGTCATTATCCATTTTGTCAGGACACATTCAGTCATAACCCCCAAAGGAGTGACAGATCGTATGAGGCCTCAGTAAATCGGGCATTAAAGTGAGCCGGGTAACAACTGAGCCATCTACCACCAATTGCTGCTGGCTATGCTTCAGTATCGTTTTCAGACTTGTTTCATGGAGGGGACACTTGCCTTTTCACTTGCTGAGCTTCTTATTTTAGAGTCAAAGTTTCGAATTTTATCCTTCTGTTCTGGGTTGAGTGTTAATGTTGTTACATTCGGCTTGTATTTTGCACCTTCAATGCGTGAACTACTTTAACAAAATCGGATTGGTTCAGCTCGTAGTCCCATTCTGATTGGGGACACAATAGAGAAGTGGACAAATTTTGTTAATTGGGCAGTTACTCTTCGAATTTCACTTGTGTCCGACCTGCGCTGATATATGAGGCACAGTAATAGCCGTCACGGGAGGCTAAACAATCTGGGTGTTCGGGCCCCGCTGTGTACGCTGCTTCGGATGTGTTTGGTGGCACAATAGGAGCATTCAGGGGAAGTGTATCAATTTGTCGGGGCCATGCACTCATGCAAATGCATGAACTCCGTAGATTGTCACCGGGCGGACTTTCTTTTCCAGACAGGTAACAGATGGAAGAAAGAAAAGAAATGGTCAGAATAATGCTTGGTATGAGGAATTGAAAATTCTAACCAGGAGACTTACTGACGTAAGTCACATTACTAGCTCATTTAGATGAATTGCCTGTGGTTCACCAACTTAGTTTTACCCCCAGATGTTGGCTTTTCGACCTCTCACTTTGACAAGAAAAAGCCAAAACCACATAGAGCCAGTGGGAGAAGCTTCCTCAGCAGACACTTTTTTGAAACAATTGGCTGCATGCAGTAGTTCGCGCGGTACATGGGGATGGCGACCACTCATAGCCAAAGACCCCTGAACATTCTGTTACTTTTATGATGTTAGTGTTCTCAGCTTTAAAGCCTTCCGTCGGTGTTCAACCGTATGGTTAGCTGAAAGATAACGAAAACCGAGCACACTGAAATACTAGACCATCATGTCTATGGGTTTCATGTTTTCTGCTGTGTACCACACTTAGTCCTTTCTTCTTTCTGCCAGTGGCAAACTTAACCCTTTGGCCACATCTCAACCTTGTTGTCTCGCCAGCTGTTGTAAAGCAAACGTGGGTCTTCAGAATTGAACTACAGTCATCCACCATGATTAATATAAGCGTTACCTATAGGGGTGATAGATTTCCAAATGGAAAACTGTCTTCATGATTGTCTCATCAAGCTGGTAATCGTTTTTATCCTGATCCTTAATTTTCCATATTTGATTTTTCTAGTGCAGTCTAACAGTGATTAATGAAAATGTCATCGTTATTAGCTGTATCGTTTTTTATTTCAAAGTTGTATGATTTGCTTATGGTCTACAATCTTTTCTCTGGCGATATACGCAATTTGTTAATAGCGGTTGCACTATTTTCTTACCTTTAGCTCTGCCGCGCCATCTATACACTTTGTTACTATTCCAACCAATTGGATTATTAGAAACATGCAGACACCTGGCCTTTCTCAAAACGTTTCTTCACATTCTCCAGCGATGTCCTCTACCGCCGTTGCAGATCCCACAAACTCTGATCTTCCAACTCCAATTGATTGGAATACTAATGTTGTTAATTTCATATCCGGCTGCCGCCATCCCGGTTTGGTCCGCCGGACGTCATTGGCTGCACAATATGGTCCGTTTTTCTCCAACCTCTCTGTCCTACCACAGCAG